AATGCGGTAGGGGGAAAAGGAAAGATCAAATTGACCTGGCACACATCTATAAATCAACAACATGCTTTGGAAAAAAACCTCTAATTTAAACCCATGAAACTAAGAAGAGCTCTCCCTTAAAGACAACCTCAGAAAATATTTTAAAAAGAAAACATCAGCATCAGACAATGCTGCAGAAAAGTTAAGTTTAACTTGAGGTATCTCATCCAAAAGAATCTGGAGGAAATGGAACTTTTTTTGGAGAAAGGGAATAGAATACGAGTAGATATGAATTGATTACACCTCAACCAAAGAACAATCAAAAGGCTACTAGGAATAGAAAGTCATCTACTATGTAACATGTTCTATTAGCATTTGAAATGACTGAAATGAAAATTTTTAAAGGCAAACTTACGCTCTTCTGTCATGATCAATCCTGTTTATTTTTCCACCAATGAACACTCTGATCTTACAGTCTTTCCACTTCTTCTTGGTTGTAAGAAGATACGGAATCAACAATGTCAAACCTGCATTTTGACCAGAATTTGGGAATGATTCAGAAAACACAGCATCATGTTAGAGTTTAACAGTACGAATTTTTAATCTACGATGAACTGACTGAAAGATATCTATTAACAATTAGTTCAAAATTACTTCAATAATTTTTTTTCAACATTTGTTCTTGAAGTGTAAAGCACATTACCTCCATCATCAAAGAGCCACCAGACATCAATATTGCTTTTGCCTTGTTTCTTCTGAAACTGAGTACTAGCATCAAGAAGTCTTTGGTCAGCCAAGTTCAGAGGAGAAGATGGGCTCTTTGAACCTGGAAAAAAGTATGATGAAATTTCATTTTTGAAGTGTTTTGCTTAATCACCCTGAAATTAATCAAATGCAACTTCTTAATACTTTGTGATATCTCTAAATCTAAATAAAAATTGTTTCCTCCCCACAACCCAACTCCAAATTTTGATTGAATGGATATAAACTGAGCTATATTAAGGGAGTCTGCAAACTCGTAACTTCAGCAGTTAAAGATTTAAATTGAACTTAACTAACTTCGCATACATACTTCAGATACTTCAGAGCATTAGGTCATGTACTGTTGCTACCTCTTGCAAATGACAAAACTTCCCTAAAAACATGTAGGGATTTACAAGTTTAATTTTTACAAGTATTTACAAATATTTACAAGTAAATACCATGTCCTAAGCACTTTTCTTCTTTCCTTAAATCCATTTTTCTTTAAGCATGTGGTGAAAAGAAAAGCTAGTTCTGCATATTAGAATTCTATCTTTTGCAACAAGTATTGTTTTGCATGTGCAAGGCTCCAAAGCACAATACAGACTATTTTGCATAACAAAGTTATTGGATTTGCTGAAAACACCACAACAGTGGCATTTGCAATTAGATTAATACAGGTAAATACATTTTTCTAAAAATATAGAACAAACTAACCCCTTTCCCTTAATTAAAACCTCAGTTTGAACAAGATCCAGGAGTTTGATACTCATCTCAGCCCTTATTTTATTAGGAATTTTTAAATTTAGAGTACATCTGTAACTGATTTACATTAATATACTACTTTACTGCCTATTGGGACTTCTTCCAAACTGCCATCTTGTGCTTCAAGATGTAATCTCACTTTCCATTATTAAAACACAACAGCTTCTAGCTGTTGAAATTATGAAGACAATGTCAAAAAGTTAGATGAATCTTAGTTAAGGCAAAGATATTTGCTTAACTCAAAAAATGGCTGAAGTAAACCAGAAAATGAAAACTGCTCAATTCATCTCTCAAAATGCTGTTTATTTGAATGACTGTTTTGCATTATTTCAGATGTTAATCTCACTGAGTGGCTATATTATGCCTTAATCTGCAAGCTATTGAACAGTTCCAAGTAACAGATCAACAACTATGGCTTTAGAAGATCTACTGAATAGATTGACGGAACACTTCCACTATACCATTACTCCTAAATCAAGTAAGGACCAAGACGGATACCTGAGACACAGAGAACTAAGCAAGCTTCCTGAACACATTTCAAATGTTATTTAAGAACAAATGTTTAAAAAAAAATTCCAACATTTGTATCTTAGACACATGCACAATCCTTCCTCAGCAGCAACTTATTCTGGGAATTTCCAAAAAGTTGCATTTTTCCATAACTTAATCCCTAAAGATGAAGCACATTCCAAAGCAGATATGAAGAAACAAATTAACACTGCATGGTTGATATTTTCCCCTCTCTCATATATATGTGTAGAAAGAAGTACAAAAGGAAAACTGAAATTAACAATGCAAAAGAATGATTTAACACAAAAAGGTGGAAAAATGCCTGCCTTTTTTCAACAGTGGTTGTGTTGGAGTCTTTCCATCCTCGTCCTCCTCTGGAAGATTTTTAAAGATACAAAATAAAAAGGTTAAATTCCTTTGTGATGTTAATGAAAATACTACTAGTGTATATAAAAAAAATTAGAAAATAAAGATGTAGAATGAAGTGGATTTTAATACAAAGAAAAGCACACAAATGCAGTCTACCAAATCCTGAGATTTATATGTACTTTAAAAAAAAAAAAAAAAAATCACTTTGCTCACTTAACTATTAAGTCACTCCAAGCTTTTATTTTAGAAGGAAGAGCAAAGTTGGTTATGGTCATGTCAAAGTATCCTGAATGATTTGTGTCTGTTAACATGCATATAATATTGTAGTCTGAGGTGAAAAAAACTTCATAAATTTAGCAGACTTCAAATCACACTTAATATATAGACGTGTGGCACAATTCTCAAGCAATTTTTAATGCCTGTCAAACTCATTAGCAAAGAAAATCCATGTTAGGTCATTGTCTACCATCTGTTTTATTTGGGGAACTAGATGTGAAAGATTTATTTTACATACTGGTAAGCTCTAAACCGAAGTACATAAGTGATTAGACATCAACGGCTAGAAAAGCATGACCCACTTCTGTTCCGCAGACACAAAAATCCCTTAAATAATTCCTTGGCAAGGGGAGAGAGGAACTGAACAGGGAATAACAGAGAGAGATAGAGAACTCAAATTTCATTGCTAACTAGCAGGTTACCTTTATGTAGAGTGGTAGTTCTTTCACTAGATGATGGAGCAAAAGCTATAGAAGTGTCTGTCTCGGCCTTCTTGCTGTAATCCACTTTTACTATGACATCCTTGGTACATGGAGATTTTTCTTGGGATGACAGTAACTCTTCTTTGAGAAAGCAAAGAAACACATTATAAACCACTTAATTGCTCCAAATGGTATCAATATAGATATGCGACTGAGATGGTTCACAGTAGGTTAAACTCTACTGCAACTGTTATGCTATGGCAAAGAGAGGAAAAAAGGAAGCAGAAAACAACAATGAAAAAATTTTATATGAACTGCTTCAGAGTACAAAGAGGCTCCTCCTCTGAGGAGAGCTGTAATTTCCTGCTACTTCCTTCCCAGATTTTAGGTGTTGATTGCATTACCACAGGCTAAACATAAAACAGAGCTAGCTAATACTGAGGAGGTACAACCAGAAGGAAAATAAATTACTTGGGGAAACATTTTCCATTTCCACTCTAACTCCAAGAGGAAGAGGAGCTTTAGACAAAGCCCAGAACAAGTATGTCTCACAGCCAAGTTTTTTTCCCAGGTTTGGCTTCAGTAGAGCTACTTAGTAGCTGTCAGAGTTAAAGCAAACTCACAGTCCCCAGCGGATACTAAGACTCTTCTGACACCTTAGTGTTATATTTCCCAGTCTTCTCAGCAGCTTTGTTTTCACACTGCAGATTCACTCCTTGCTGCTGCTCATACTCCTCTGCCCTCTTGCACACAGTGACAGGCTCTCTGCCTCTCCACAAATCCTAAGACATTCATATGTTTCCAGTGAAGGAACAACCCTCCCCTCTTTCAGGAGGATGCCCCCCTACAGAGCTTGTGTCACAAGCATTCTTCTTCATTGTAGCAACGTTGTATAGAGCAAGCTACAAACAAATTAGACATTATCAATTCAGTAGACAGTTGCCAACAAAGCAACTAGTGTGTGTAGCGGTTGGCAACCCACACCAGACCCATAACATTCTTGGATCATGCAGCATTTATTGTAATTTTCATTATTTCCAGACTTGGGTACCAAATACTTGATACCAGTTTGGCAGCCTCTTTAATTTGTTTCAGTAAGATAGTAAATCCTTGGGAACCAACTATATGCAGCTTACAAATACAGAAAGTTGAAACACACAGAAACCCAAGTTCTGTTGCTGAACATGGGTTATTCTTATTTCACATTTCAGACTTGCTGATTTCAGTGATTTTTTTTTTTCCTGTAAGTAGAGTGGTGTTTTGGTTTGTTGTTTTTTTAATAATTTATCTTTGTTTAACATTTTCAGAAAGCAGTATTAAAAGGGAATTAGAACAGCTATTCACCAGATGAAACAAAATAAATCTTACCTTGGCCTTCAAGGTGAGAGATGTCCAGGCCCTCCTTTAGGCGGATGACAACTACACCATACTGAATGTCAAAGGCATCACTGAACAAAAGGAACAAAAATAAAGTATTTTACAACTTTTTCTTTCCCAAAGGACCTAGTTTACACACCCTCTTTGAACAAATTCTAGTGATTAAACACTGCCATTTAAACTGCCAAATCATAAATTTGTTACAATTTCAGTTTCAATTCCAAACTATCAACTGCATCAGTGAACTGAACACTATATCCTGAAAAGCAACACACAGAAAGGTATCTATTCCCTCTCCTCCCTCTCTCCCCTATGTAAACAGCAATTAAATGGAAGCAACATGAAACAGGTCAAGTTCTGCACAGATGATGATATCAAGATACACTGAGAAATCTAAGTTTTTGTTTCCCGCCATCAATAAAGGGACTTATTTTGAGTAATCTCCTTGATCTGAGAACTAAACATTTCTGACGTCTTTCCAAAACATTGGGGTATTAAAAATACCTACAAAATCGGATTACAAGTTAGCTATAATGTGCCTGTTCCCAGGAACTCACTCCTTTAAAAAATAAAGAGGCAAAACTCCATTATTGTAGAAACAAGCAAAAAGCCTGAATAAATGGCTAAGTAAAAGTGGAATAAAATGAAGGACAAAAAACCCCCCAAGATATAAGACAGAAAAACACGAACTTAACCAGATCATACAGTTTGCATTAGCCATTAATCAGTCCTTTTAATGTAAGTACCTCATTACAAACAACCATAAATCAGAGAACTCCCTCCCATGTCATTTCCACAGACAGAAATTTCTCAAGATTTCACGCATTAAACACTTTTCTTTAGAAGTAGGAAGATGATTAGAAATGTTCAAAGCATCAACATGTTCTATAATAAATGCAAAAAAAATTTAGGTTGATTTAAGATGTTTTGTCCATTAGTGAGCATTTTAATTAATGATTTAATTTGTTAAAACTGTACAGATTAGATGTGCTTCTATTGTATACTTCAGAAAACTTCCATTTTCTACAGATTTTCCAGAAATATGCTTGACCTACAGTTATTACCTCTTGAAGTTTCCCTTTTGGGATGTGGAGAACCACATGACTTGTTGGCCTTGACAGATCTTCCAGCACAAGCCATTCGAAAGTAAAATAGGAAAAAAAGAAAAACCAAGAACTAACGAACATGTTTCCTTATTTTTCACTGCACTTGGTGCTCCTGCTTTTCTTTTAAGGAACTGGGAGAGTGGGAGGGTATAATTTTTTCCCTTTTCTGATCTCTGCCTGTAATTCCCCATCCTCTCTTTCTTTTAAATGCACAGCAAATGAGAATTGTAAAGCACAAATGAAGCGGGTTAAGCTGCACATAAGGAAAACAAAAACCCTTCTGTATAAGTGCCAGAAGCAAGTTTTGGTTTTCTTAAGTGTTTGTAGCACAAGTTATCCTATTAATTTTTCCACCAGAACTGGTCTGCCTTTCAATACTGTCAAATTACACTGGGATCTCCTTTCCCATGTCCTTTTTCGCTACTATATTACTTCGGGTGTCAGTGCTGTGTATCTTGTAAGTAAAATATTTCTTGTATATGAGAGCAAAGTTTAATGAAGATAGAACTTCAGCATAAGAGTTGATTCATTCTCTACTACACTTAAGCCGTGCAGAAGTAGTGTAGGAAAAACCCTGCTTTCAACAGAAATTATGCTTTAAAGAATTTAACAGACTGGCACATAAGACATCTCTAAAGACAGTAACTCTTAAATCTCAGACCACTGCCACAACTCTTTCTAGATGCAGAAAGAGTTATTATGTAGAAATCTGTTTAAACTATAAAGAATTGCTTATTAATTTCCATTATCTGAAAAAACCCAAGGTATTGAAGACTGCTGGATCAGCAAGATGGAAAATCTGAGTCTACCTGAAAGAGAGTTCATGCAACTAAGCTCTTCTTGACTTATTACCAAACGTACTGAAATAGAACGTAAGAGCTACACCTCCACAGTTTCTACTTACTGGAATAAATTGATATAGGTTTCAACGTCTCTCATGTCACCTTGTCTCCAGTTTTTCTTAAATCCAACAACAAGGGTGTTAGGTCTCATTCTACCCAGACCAGCAGCCTAAGAAGAACAAAACATATTTTTAAAAACTGTCCTATTGAAACAACTGAAGGTTCTATTATTTTCTTAAGCAGAAAACAAAGTGTTTTTCATCAAAGTTGTAAGATAACTTTGCAAAATGAAAATACTTTGAAGTATAAAAACACTTCCAGTTTCATGCTCATCTTCAGTTATCATTTTAAAAAAAAAATTTAAAGAGAGAGGAGTACCTGCATTAAGTATTGTCCTCCATCCCTTAAGTCCTCTGCATGCACTGGTGCATAGAAAGCCTTCATCTTGTTTTTAATTAGCCATCGTTGATATTTAGCCAAATCAGTTGACAGTTCCTTCATGGCTTGCCTCCGAGGACCCTTTCAAAATAAGGAAATAAAAAGAGGAGAGGGAACAAGAATTATGAACAGTTATTAAAAAAAAGGGGGGGGGCACTTTAATTTCCCTATTAGAATTCAATTCAGACTTGAAGAACCTCAAAACATGCTTCCACGCTACCAAAAAAAACCCAGAACAACAAAATACCAGGCATTATCAGCACCAAAGAATGGACCAGAGTCTCATTTTTAGGAAGAGGGTTGCTCAAGCTTTAGCAATCTTGTTCCTGCAGAGCACAACCCACTTCCCCAGCAGGTGGCACAAGCCTGTCCTCCAAAGCATAATATAGTTTTAAAAGGAAATAGCTTTGTAATAAAACATAGGAATATTTGTTTCAAGCTGTACAAGTGTGCTTCTGTGTGTACATAACCCTAATCAGAAAGCCTTTAGTCACAGTAGTATTACTTATGCAGTTTTATGTTGCAAAGTCATGCCCTCTTTAAATACTTTTTGTTACTTCCATCAGAACAAATCATTGTGTTCCTTCTAGACATCAAAATGCAGAATACAGGATGAGGTATAATCAAGAACACAGTAGCCCAGTTTTTGCAAAAGGATACAGACTGACCAAATGGACAGAGTTCATGAAGAATAAGGTAGTGCGTCATCCTTCTTGTGGGAAAGCAATTTTATGTAGAGAGAGGATACACTCCCAGAAAATCTCTAATCAGAATTGCTTTCCTACAAGAAGGCTGACACTACATTACTCTTTTCAGTACAGCCCTACTTTTGAAAGACAGTAATTTCATCTGTGATATCTTACCTCTCTAGTATTACTCAGTTTCTGTCCTTTGCACTCACTGAAATTTTAAGTTTCTATAGACAGAAATCAAAAGAATTAAAGTTTCTGAAGACAAAACTGGCCAATATTTGCTTAACAAAATGTATGTTCTGTGGATTGCATTACCTTGATTTGCTCTTATCTGTTCATTAGATCAGAAGCAAGTTGTATTTAGTAAGTGTGGTAAATTTAAACATATTTAAGAGTAATCAATCTTTGTGTTTAAAGTTGCACTTGCTTAAATGTTCCTAATAATGTGACAGAAAAAGTTTGGCCTTTAATACGAAGCTAAACTACACAATCCCAATATGCTAAAACATATTTACCAATGTTTATCAGAGAAGCAACAGCCTCTCTGTAGCTAACTGAAGTTTTGGTACAAATCATAATATGACAGCCACCTTGTATCACAGTTAGACAACTCACAAGTGATTTTGAAAAACAGTTACTTGAAGCTTGCTTCCTTCCCCCCACCCCAAAACCTCTACACTTCTGCCGTAGAAGATACTTCCCCCCACCCCGCCCAAGTAGTAAGAACTGCTGAAATTATGTCCTTGCAGAACAGCATTCCCACACCCCCAGCCCCAAAAAAACCCACACCTCATATCCTGACAAAAACCAGAGAAAGTTAGTGAAATACTAGGGGCTGGCCAGAAAGGGAACAGGAAAGGAAATACCTGTTCACATTCCTGTTTCACTTGCCAATTAAATTAACCTGATAACTGAAGGAATAAAAAACTACTTGAAAGGTTAAGAGCAGTTTTTAACTATTGGCTAAACTGATACTGAATTTACTGTTCAAGAAGGATTATTTTAGACCAGGCTTTGTAAGAAATCTACACAGGAATCAATCTCCCTGAAACAGTAACACTGAGAGGAAATCTAGCTGTATACTGTGCATCATTTTGACCAACTGCTCTGTCCAAAGCATGAAAGAGGGCATGAGACTGTATGACACACAGACAGGAAGAGACCCAGGCTGTAATCCAATGTTCACTTTACTCCTACAAAACTTCTTCAGCATTTAAGCAACAGATGATCAAAGGTACCAATTTTGCCAAGTTTCCCCTGTAGTATACCTAACTGGAATAGTGATAACCCATACATGAGTGGATCCTACCACTAAATCTCTCTTTTTGCACTTCTCAACATCTAATGATGCTTTCCTTTAAAAAACAAACAAACAAACAAAAAAAACCAAACCAAAAAACCCACACACAAACAAGAACCACAAACAAAAAGCAAACAGGTTAAAAAAAAACCCCAAACCAAAAACCAAGGTAACTTTAAATTAAAGATAGAATACACTTACCATGTGTACGTGGCCACAGATCATCAAGCCCACATTCTTGGTGAAAGCATGGACAAGGTGAAGCAAAGCTGGACGTGCATTTGGAGCACCTGTCATAATTAAGCACTGAGGTCTAGAATTGTGAATAGATGAGGAATAAAAAAAAAGGTTGGAATTCATTTCATCTGGAGTTGTGGGTTGTTTTTTCTTAACAGAAAGAAGTTTCTTCCAAATATTGGCCATAAGAACATAATCATCACCATCACTGGAAAGGTAGTAACCTCATCTACTTTTACGAGACTATGTTAAATTAGGTAAAGATGAATTTTTCCACAACTGTCAGCAGACCTATGATTAACTGGTTCCAAACTTAGTAATCCCACTAAATCTGAAAATTTACACATTTAAACAGATTTTAGACAAGACTAGGTCAGAGGGATGAATTTCTTCCCCCATTTCTAAGTCACATCCCTTTGCACTTTCTAGCTTAGATTCTTCTGTGCCCAACAGAAAAACTGGAATCATACACTTTACTTAAATTACTATCATTCAGAAGGAGAAGCCAAGAAACTGCAGGTAAGTTATTCTAGACAGCTTTCTAATCAATTGTGAAAGATGAAGACTTCAGAATGCATTTCAGGAAATAAATTTTTCATATCCTAAGAACCACCTGAAGTCATCCATCTCAATCTCTACAGCAGCTCCAGTTCATTTTCCATATTAGAATCATAGAACAGAATCATGGAATCATTTAGGTTGGAAAAGACCATTAAGATCATCAAGTCCTACCACAAACCTAACACCACCTTGTCCACCACTAAACCATGTTCCTAAGCACCACATCTACATGTCTTTTAAATACCTCCAGGGATGATGACTCAACCACTTCCCCAGGCAGGTTGTTCCAATGCTTGATAACCCTTTCGGTGAACAAAATTTTCCTAATATACAATCTAAACCTCCCCTGATGCAACTTGAGGCTGTTTCCTCTCATCCTGTCACTTCTTACTTGGGAAAAGAGACTGACCCCCCACCTCGCTACAACCTCCTTTCAGGGAGTTGTAGAGAGCGTAAGGTCTCCCCTCAGCCTCCTTTCCTCCAGGCTAAACAACCCCAGTTCCCTCAGCCGCTCCTCATAGGACTTGCTCTCTAGACCCTTCACCAGCTTCGTTGCCCTTCTCTGGACAAGCTCCAGCACCTCAATGTCTTTCTTGTATTGAGGAGCCCAAAACTGGACACAGTATTCCAGGTGCAGCCTCACCAGTGCCAAGTACAGGGGGACAATCACCTCCCTGCTCCTGCTGGCCACACTATTCCTGATACAAGCCAGGATGCTGTTGGCCACCTTGGCCACCTGGGCACACTGCTGGCTCATGTTCAGGCGGCTGTCAGCCAACACCCCCAGGTCCTTTTCAGCCAGGCAGCTTTCCAGCCAAGCCTGTAGCGTTGCATGGGGTTGTTGTGACTCAAGTGCACAACCTTGGCCTTGTTGAATCTCATAGAGTTGGCCTTGGCCCATCGATCCAGCCTGTCCAGATCCCTCTGTAGAGCCTTCCTACCCTCAAGCAGATCAACACTCCTGCCCAACTTGGGTGTCATCTGCAAACTTAAGTAAATAAATAAATATTGAACTGCTCTGGTTTAGAATGTATCTCTAGAACTCAAAACATTTTTTGCCATAGGCTAGAAACCAGTATCAGGCCAAAAATAATTCTCCTAAAGCCACTGTGCTTTAAACTGGATTACATTAAAGATCTGTATCTCCTTAGGATAACAATTAAAAACTCAGAAAGCTGTACTCTAGCTTCCCAAACAAAAGAGGTGAAGTACTTCCAATACAATCTTGAATACATACTGATGAGCAGACCATTCTTTTACTGTATCAGCACAAGCAGGAAGTTACACTTCTTACTTAAGAATTTTCCTATAGAGCTTGCTTCTACATCGAATTTTGCAACCCAAAATAGACTCACAGCAGACAGAAGTGAGGTTGCAATACTAATCACAGCTAGGTATTGCAAATTATTATTTAATGCCAGTCTTTAGATTTGCATTAGGCAAAGTTTGAAAATTGCTGCTCTTGATACCTAGGCAACAAAGAAGTTTCTGAATGTAGACTGTTTTTTCCTGTTAACAGTGCAACTTGATGTAATAGGTAATACAGTATTTGTAAATAAATCAGGGATTTTAATGTTACATTAGGACTTAGGACTTCAGAAAGAAGAGCCATTTCATAGTTTAAACTTCAACTTTTGTGGTTTATACCTAAAACAGCCAATTCTTTTCAGTTTGGAAGTGGAAAGCCCATTAATGCTCAAATTTAGTTTTACTGTCATATTCTTTGAGGTTGTGCTGATACCTATCAAAATCGGTTAACATACGTAATTTCAACTGTCTGTATGTATGCAACATAGACATTGTAAGCACCTACCCTGTACTTCAAGAGAATTTAGTCACTTCCAAGTGAGGCTACGGGTCAGAATTGGAGTATTTTCCCAACTGACAGGAAATACCATAGATCTTTTCTTTGAAAAACTGTGTTGCTGCCAAGTTCTGCATTCTGGACTTAACCTCAGAGAATGGCACCTGTATCAAGAATCTCTTCCCGAACTCACTCCATATTAAATTCTGCCCTAAGTATGCAAAGTCTCCCTTCATATACAACAGAATATTTTAACAGCTAGATTCTCTTGCTAATATGCTGAGCATAACAGGAGAATACACTTTTTACAGCTGCAAGGGATGAGAGATATTTGCTAGACTAAGTGTCAACTCTGTAAATCCTGTGCTGGGCATCAGCAGCACGTAGGAGGTATTCACTCTCGATGCAAAGAGACAGGTCAACAGAACCTCCATCCTTGGAAATACTCAAAACTTGACTGGATATGGCCCTGAGCCATGTAACATCAAAGTTGAATCTAACTTTGCAGCTGGATCTATGGTGAGTCAGTTGAGTTGGGGATTGGACAAGATCACATGGTAAAGTCATGTTTAATCTATGATTCTATCTATTTGGAGAAATTAGTTTAAGTCAATACTTTTGTTAAAATTTTTGAAGCATCTTTCTTCTACAATAGCTTATTCCAGAAATGTGGCATAAATACTACAGGATAGAAAACTGCATCCTTGCGTAGGACCTTCCTGGGTAGCCATGCTGACACACAACAAATCAGTTCTTTTCAGTTGTGTGAAAAACACTTGTGTAGCCTGTTTGCTGTTACTGAAATGCCATGAGAGAATATGTCTAATGTGAAATAGCTGATGTTAAGGACAACATCCACAGTATATACATCTTGGGGATTTTAAGTTAGATCAGTTTTATCCCAAGCATGTGGGCTGAATGCTCATTAACAGTTTGCAGCATATCTTCCATTTCAGTTTCATCAAGGAGGAACGCAATTCACAGTTCATGACTCAAATCATGAGGCATCTAACAATAAGCAGACATCATCCACAGACTCGTTTCTAAAGTGCACTCCTAATCAGAAATAAAACGCTAATGTAAGTATGTCCAGAGGATGTCCATGGTGGCGAAATTCAAACTTGTCATAACCCACAGGATATGAACAGGCATTTAACGGAAACCACGATAGCAAACATCTTAACAGGACCCTACTGAATACACAGAAGTAATTTCCTATGTCTTTAATATTAACTGTTACCTGAAGTTTTTCACATGATCTTCTACTCCCGAGAGCCGAATAGAATGCTGTAGTGCATTCAAGTAAGTCAGAGCTTGCGTTGAGGATCCCCAGTTCACATCTGTTGGAAGATACAAAGTTCCAATATTTTATTTAAAGCTGTTCATTGTAAAACTGTACGATGACAAAATGAACATTGACTATCAACTGAAAACACAGAAGATTTAAGCTACACCTTGGTACATTCTACGCAATACTCGTCAAATCCTACAGCTAAATAGGCAATTCTATTTAAAGATAACTCTTCTGTACAGGTTTTAGCAAACAAGCTAGAGTTTGATATTTTACAGTTATAGAAAGAATAGAAATACATATAGATATAGAAAGTATAGAAAGAACGAACGAAGGTTTTTCCCCCAACATTTCAAAGATTGTCACAACATCAGAGTCAAAAAAGTAACACTTCAGGAAAAAATGCCATGCTTGGTTATTTTATATCACAGAAAAGGAAAAAGTAATCTCAAAACATCACCTGAACAAAGTCACATACTTTCAGTGAAAAACTGCTAGATAAAGCAGTTCCTTTTAGATTATTATTTTTGTAAGGAAATTAAAGATTCCAGTATCCTCTCTATTTGTTCTGATACACATCTTTTGCTAGCTACACTGAATTTATCATCCAAGTACTTTATAATCTTCATAGCCCAGGTTTTCCTTATTTTCAACTTCAGGAACACTTTTTGTTTCAGTTCTGTTCCATCTTGCACTTATGATCATACAGTGCTCTTAGAAGAGGGAAGAAAGCATATAAATTGTTGTTCACAGGTATAGGAATGTTTTACTGAAAAAACCCAACCACCACTCAAATCTCTCTTCAATTTGGAAAGGTAAGGGAGCATCCTCTTTCATTTCCTATCAAAACATAACATGATTTCCTAGATGCCTTTGTGGCTGCAACCCAAGCTCCTTCCATACACACCTTTTCCTCCAATTTTCATTCAAATGTTTATGTCTAAATGCAAGGCATGCATCTTGACAATTTGGGAGGAGGAGGAACAACAGCAGTGACTATACAAGCATAATTACATTTCATTACAACTAAAAAGCTTGAAACAAAGTTTGAACTAGTCGGCCAAACAGAAATAAGTTCTCTTTTTTTTTTCCTAAAGGCCATCACTTCCTCCCCTCTTCTACATCCCTCTGCCCCCCCCATGGCAATGAAAAGAAGCCCCTATACATACCTGGTTTCTTGTATGTGACATAAATGTAGAGTCCAAGGACTATGACATATGTTAGAAGTGCTGCCCACCAATTAATGACAAACATCACAATGCAGCACAGAATAGCTCCAACAAGAGAAATCCACATATTGTAGTATTTGAAAGCAGGGCGCCAACCTAGTCAAAATATAATTTGGAGGATAGAACAGAAAAGAGGGGGGAAATTAATTTAATCACTACTCCAAGAGAAGGAAGGTGCTATTCCTCTTTTCCTTCCCTAGTGTTCTGCATCACATTTCATATGAATATGTGATAGTTTCAGTAATGTACAAAATAAAGACTTTGGCACATTTATGCTTTCAATTTTCCAACACCTTTCAAATGATTTTGCATCTTTTCTACATAGATATGTAAATGTTCCTAATTTTTCCCTCTAAAAGCATATCTCAAAAGTGAAGTTTAAAGATGCTTGTGCCACTATGCCTGTTGAATCAGGCTACAAGAACCTTTGGCAATAGCTTCCCTGTCAATTGATTTTTGCTTTCAAAAGTAGCATAATATGAATCACCAGCTCGTGACTCACTCTCTCATATACTACTGACTGTTTCTAGTTGTGTATTTTTACTATTTTCACACAGGCAGAGAATTTCACCAGATGAAAAGAAAAAGGACAGATATATCCAAGTAGAACTTGAATATGTCAAAATACTGGACTGTCACTGTTTTATGTCCTTATTTGTCAGAAGTTTAACCCAAATCAGGTAAATATACACACCCCTGTCATCCCCCCCCATGAACATACCTAAGATTAGCAAGCATATTAGACATAGAAATGTTGTATAAACAGAGTTATGCCACGCTCTGGCAAAATAATGACATCTACCAGTTCAGCAATTCAAGAAGCTTTTAAGGGCATTATTTCAGTACAAATGCATAGTGGACTGGGTATGATATACACCTGTTCTGCAACTACTGGGTTTTGGCTTATTCCTATAATCTAACTAGCCTCCCACACCAAAGGCTATAAAAATGTGGAAACCACCTGCAATTACAGATTCGTCTGGACTAGAAGATGAAACATACTATCAGAGAAATCCAAAGATGACAAAAGGGTGGTTCTTGAACATCAGATACAGAATGAGCAAGAAAGCTTTCTTCAAGAGTTTCTGAGTAAACAGTGAATTACCCTGTGTTCCATCAAAGATGACAAAATCAGTAGCTCCCAAGCCCTACTGGATCACTCCATCCCCAAAATTTCAGAATACCAAAGTACACACCATATTATGCTGTAATTCATATGCACCATGAGAATCAAATAGGTATTTAGTAATTAAATTAAACTAAACTTTCATTTATACCAATACCTTTTAAATTGTATTTATGCATAAAGAAATTGCAGGCTAAACTCTCACCCTCCAAAATGTAGTTCCTACCTGGAGATTTTGCAAGAGAAGCATGGAATACAGAGAAGTTAATCAAGGCGTATGAGGCCAAGAAGAAGTTAGAAATAATTGGAGCAATGACGTTCAGTTCAGCTGTAAAACCAAAAACAAAGCAGGTTGTTATGAAAGGTATCACCCAATGGCTTTGTAGATTCCAGAGTAAAAAAATCTGCTACCAACAACCTTATATTCTGAGGTACTCTAAGAAGCAGTAGTTTGTCCTTTCTGTTCAACACAGAGCTATTATCTTAATGGTCCTTTATTTACTAAGTTATCTTCTAATAGTCGGGAAATGTAACTTTCCGTTTTAAAAATATAAACATTTTTCCACACTACCAAGTGTTCCAGGACTGCCACTTTTGAAGAACTACATACTTTCTCAAAATAATTCATTGAGAAAATTTCTTTCCCACCATGGCTTGATCAAACAGTGCACCTATACACTGGGTTCTGAAGAACGTCAGGAACAGTAGACAGAGCATTAATATATCTGCAGTGCATCTCCAGCTCAATTCTCAAACAGCAAAGAACAAGATTAAGAGACAGTCAACTAGGGGGAATGGCAACAGCAGACAATACTAGTGTGAGCAATGGGATAAACATGTTCATCTGCCTGCATTTTAAATGAAAAGTTGCATCAATGGTACTAGTATAGTGCATTATTATAGACCAATACCATCACAACAGTGATGAGTACACCCTTTTTAGTCAAAGAGATGGAAGAACCTGATGCTCTCGTTTCCTTGAGGCAGCATGATACAAAACATTTATATGTGTACTCTCACCATCAAAAAGTGATCAAAATGCAGAATGTGCCATGTTAGTCTGCAAGTTTCTACTTGCTGTAATCAAGCTTCCAGTCAGCATGCTGCAGTAGGGACCTGTGCCTTAAGCAGTCTTGGGGGAAGGATAAAAGAGCAAACTGGGAGAAGTTTAAAAACACTAGTACAGGACTCATAGATGGACACAGCACAATTAGTTTGCCATCTGCGTAGAATACATGTAATTCCACCTAGACTATGTTTACCTTTAGCAACAGCAGCATCAGCACTCATCTCTACTGTTTGTAACTAACAGAAAAACACACTTTAAAAAGTATTGTTCATGCAAGTTTGCCATTTACTGAAGCTGTTTGTAATTACTAAAAATCTGAAATAAACTTTCATATTTACAAGATGTAACACCTACCTAAAGCAAAAGATGTATTTTTATTTATTGATAGTATCTTAAAGACAGATACCTGTGGTTATGAACAAAAGTGCAGTATTGCTACAGTTCAATTCAAATTTATTGCAGTTTTAGACAGAGTTATATCTAGAAGATAGGAGACAGTAACCCTCAACATAAACAGATTTAGAATGCTGGCTTAGAATTAAGCAGTGCATTAGACCTCTAGGACACTGTCCTTAAGTCATGATATGGACTAGAATGCTTTGTAAAGGACAAAAGGATATTGAGACTTCTTGTAATTTCCAACTAACCAATTAGTATGAATCCAAGAGCAATTAAAAATGTTAGAAGATATCCTCTCAGTGGTTCATTGTTCTTCCCATAGCCTTTAGCAAACATCTGAAATCCTGGATAAATGTTGTCCTTGCACAAAGCCTAAGAAAAAATAAAATTCAAGAGTCAGCATGTGTTTTGTTCAAAATATATCCTTACTAATGGTGTCTTCGACTGCATATTATCTTCCTGAAAGAAGAATGTTTATATCCACCATGTACTAATTCTGTTTTCAATTGTCTTTCAATCTTGAAGTTTTGCATTGCCAATATTCTATCCTTCAGTAGTTTCTATCTATAAGAAAAACCTCTGCTATTCTGTAAGTAAGACTATTTTACTTTACTGGAGTCTTACATTCACAAAGAGTCTTTCTTTAGAGACGATGTTTTCTCAGGAAGTGGAAGACTTTGCCCAGTGTGTACACTAGTTCTCTGCATCAATATTTGTGCTTCTATTCTGCAACAAAATCCCTTCTATGTTTGACTCCCTACTGAACTTTTGGGAACGAAGGTCATTAGAGGACACTAAAGTTCTACCCAGTTAAAGAAAACTTGTAAGACAAAGAATGAGATTAAGTGGTTGAAGAGAAGGTAAAGCAAAATACATTCAGAAACACCAACAAAATCAATGTAAATGATTTACACAAGAATTGGTCCACAATTATTTTGATAATGTATTCTCTGAGGATTAAGGTTCCACAGCTACAGGTTCTACTTCATGCTGTCTCCTTCTGTGATTACTTTGAGAAATGAACTGTTATGTCTGTGTGCTCCACTGTTACTTACAACAAAAAACATCTAAAGGGGTTTGTACATTCTTGCAATGTTATAGTTAACACCACAACTAATCGCTAAACTAACCAGAAACACATGAGATCTGGAACAAATTATAGTCTAGCCACATTTAGTAACAACGCTAACACACTGTTTTCCCATTCTAAGCAACAGGTAAATATTACATCAATCTACTGATGTCAATGGGTATGAATCATGATGGCAGTATGTCAGAGTCCCCTTCCAAAAATTCCAATTCAAAAGTTAATTGAAATTGTTCTTTGAAAGATTATGGTTTTGCTTCCATACTTACCTGGAAGATCTTAGGTGCACTCACAAGGGATGCTAATGCAGAAGACAGGGTGGCTGAAAAAATACCTGCAGAAATCAGTGGGGCAAATCCCGATACCATGCTCATCACCTGAAAGCAAAATAATTATTTTTTTAAAAAGAATTTGAAGAAGTATACTATACAAATGGATGGCAACATTAACTACACAAACAGAAAAATAAAATACTATGTACCCTCCACTTAAAAGCTGTTTGAATATCATGCATTTATATCCGTGAATGAACTAGGGGCAAATCAGAGGATATAAATGGATCCTAATTTCAGAACAAGAGAATGTGGCTTTTCACACAATATATAGTCCAACCATGTCACTCTCAGGTCAAAACAATCAACAGCAAGTCTCCATGGGCTCATAAGAGAATCAAAAATAAGTCATAGAAGAAAAATACACTGGAATTTGTTACATATTTTGACTAGCCTACTACTGAGTAACATGACCTCAGAAAGCCCAAATGACTAAACAACTGAAATTGGGGAACATCTTGGGAAAGCTGATTGCCTTTCTCAACATCTCCATCACTCTCAGTTAGGCTTGTTTCCGCTTCAAAACCACAAGGATAGGACAAACGTGCTTCCTGTCTCCCCAAGATCACATCCTAGGACATCTCTGTAACCCCAGTGAGTGAAATACAATATGCAATTCTTGGTAGACTGGATGACTAACAAAATGATAAATGCTCAGTAAGCTAAGTATAAAAGAACAATGCTGATAAGATATTAAAAAAAAATCCCAAATTAGAACCAAAGCAGTTTCTGTCTAATTGCCATGTAGCCCGAAGACCCTCTTCTACCATTCTACTGATTACTTCTGTACCGTAGCTGCATCCAGCTTTGCACATGTCAATTAAGATACAGAACGAAGTATTTACAAAATAATCATGGTTTAAATAGAGTACTTTTCTTTATGAAACAAAAGCCTAAGCTACTTGAAGACAGACAGTGTTTAAGAATTTGATACCACCTTGAAAAAGCTTGGTTTTAGTCAATGGACCAAACCCAGCACGGTGCCTGTCAGGCACAATGTGTCAGAATTAGGTTCTGCATCATTTGCACTGATTACTTGTGTCCTTCAACCTGGCAACCCCACCTAGAGGATACGGAAAGAGACTGAAAGAAAGCAAGAAAGATCATGCAGAACTGTCCAGGTTTTAGGTTACTGTCACCTGAAGTTGTAAAATCTAGCTGTCTAAAGCAATCTTACTAGGTAGGACATGCTCTCAGAAACAATATACAGGTGACTGATGAAGTTTTATTCATATTCCTAGGGCTAAACTAATGATAAAATTTAGCAGTTTTCTCCAGATTAGACTGAGAAAGACTGCTGGGTCTCTCAGTCAACTGAATCTCATCAGGACTCACTGGTCAGTTCCAGGCATGCCTTGCATAACAAGAGAAATTAAGTAATTGCAGGTGCGTAAGATGAGAGTGAAGTAGCTATCACAGTAGTGTAACGAATGAAAGAGAGAATTTCCTCAGGCATATCTGTAGTTGACAACAAAAAAGACAGGACAGGCTTTTATTCATAGATGAATGAAACTAATGACACTACATTAAGCTATCCCTCCTATGCCCAGGTTTAAGTCAGTCTTATAATCAACAGAAAAAGTTACAGTTGTAAACGCCTGTCCTGGTTTCAGCTGGGATAGAGTTAATTTTCTTCCTAGTAGCAGGCATAGTGCTGTGTTTTGGATTTAGTAGGAGAAGAATGCTGATAACACACTGATGTTTTAGTTGTTGCTGAGTACTGCTTATGCTAGTCAAGGACTTATCAGCTTCCCAGGCTCTGCCAGGTGCACAAGAAACTGGGAGAGAGCATAGCCAGAAGAGTTGATCCAAACTGACCAAAGGGCTGTTCCATACAATATGACATCATGCTCAGTATAGAAACTGGGGGCGGGAGGTTGGCCAGGGAGCAGTGATCACTGCTCAGGAACTGTTTGGTTATCGGTCGGCAGGTGGTGAGCAATTGCATTGTGCATCACTTGCTTTGTATATTATTATTATATTGTTATTATTATCATTACTGTTTTACTTTATTTCAATTATTAAACTGTTCTTATCTCAACCCAGGTGTGTTTCTCACTCTTACTCCTCCAATTCTCTCCCCCATCCCATCAGGGCAGGGGGAGTGAGCAAGCGGCTACGTGGTGCTTAGTTGCTGGCTGGGGCTAAACCACGACAATGCCAGTTTGTAATAACCATATGCTATATTCCTAGAAGAGAAGTCAAGGATGTAAATGCTTTACTGACAAATATTTTAGAAAACCTTTGCTATAGCAACATAATAAACAAGCATAGAATAATCTTTGTAGGAGCAGGATGAAAGTTTTCTTCCCTGCAAGGATGGCATTATCAATCTTCCCTGGGAGGACTTCTCATGGACTGAATCTGTGTACAAGTCTCCATTACTTTTCTTCCCATCTGATTTAACACATTGTTGTTTCAAAGCCTTCACTTTGCTGCACTTGCATCAACTTCTTGGAAGTTTGTTCTTACAATCTACGCAGATTTTACATTCTCTTTCTAGGTTCTGCTCACTGCCTCCATTTATTTACACTATCTGTTTTTGAGTATTACATCTGGTTTACAAATTTGAGAAAAATCTCAGTAAGATGTATGCAGATAATGTTTGTCCATTTTAAAAGCTATCAAGTTACAACTCAGGTTACTAATGTAACAGACATTAGGAAGCTTCTTCTGAGCTACAAGAACAAAAGGGGAACCAGTTCCAGCAGAACCAGTGTGCCATGGTGTTAAACACCCCTCCCTCCCCTGCCCTCCATCACACACACCATAATCCAACCTCATGACCACAAAACCAAGGAACCCATATATGCAGTTAGCTATAGCACTGAAATTTTCATCCTTGAAAGAACACACAGAATTGCAAGGACAGATACCTAGTAAGAATCGCCCTGTTGCCACTGGTGTGGTGAGACAGATACATAGTTACTGCTGATAAGGGCTGAATTATATTTGCTTGGCATTTACTATTGAGACAGTTTCTTCAATTTCAAAGATCTGGGATAATGAAATACCATATTTTGACTACAGTTTCAGTTCCTTGGTCCAGCCATTGTGGGGCAGAAAAAAATGCCACATTAAAATAAACAGCAGCTTCTTTAAGTTTAGATTTTTATAATGAATATGGACAAAGCATTGTTCAACTCCCCCTTCCCCTAACTTTTTTCAAATGTTTTACAGCTGCTTTCCTTTGTAGGAGGAATGTTTTAGCAGAACTTTTACACTGTTTCTGGAATGGAGTTTCAGACTACATTCAACTTTCATCCAAAGTTGACCAAATTCTGCATCTGAATTACCGAAAGCTATAACTTATTCTAGGGAAGTTCCAGGCGGAGGCTACACAGCCCAAAACAAGTTTCTGATGTTACTCTTCTACCAGGTGACAGCCTGGGCACAGAAATGTCACTGACACAGAGCAGAGAAATGTCTGAAGCCTGTGAGGACCTGTAATTAATTTGCATTTACTACAACAGAAACTAAAGATGGTCTTTCTATGCAAGTCTGACCAAGCCTCTCTCACCAGCTGTTCTCATTTGAATTTTCTTAGCATCATCTAAATTTGCCACAGGTAAATCATACTATAAGTCATCCATTTGCTGCCCAAACACATTCAAAATCTGAGCTGCCTAAGGACTAACTTCAATTCTTTGCCAGAAGTGAATGCAGCACAAAGTGTACTGAAGTGATAAAGTCATCAGGCTGTGCACATGAGTAAACTGATGATTTTGACCTCAGAACCTGCATGCTTACAAGCTGTAAGACAAATACAACAATCTTTGCTCACTTTAGGGATTAATTTATGTTTGTGAAATTTTTGTTCTCAGTTATGTAACCTACAGAGAGAAGTCAAATTTGTATGAAAAGCTTGAGAGGTACGCAAGCTTGGAGTGTCCCCCCCCGCCCCGCACACTGTGACTTACACATTAAAAAAAAAAATCTCTCTTTACAGCTACCATTCAGAGCTACCAAGTTGAGAGCAGTTCTGTTAGAAAATGGACAACAGTTTATCTATAGGTAGACAGCCTCTCATGCAGACGATTTCCTTCTGACATCTTCTGAGAAGACAGAATCAGACTCTTCTCAGAGATACACAGCAAAAGCTGTAAGGATGAGAAAAAAACCAAACAGCAAGGAAAAGTCCAACTGGGTATCAGAAAAACAAAATTCCACAGAGAAGGTGGCTAAGCACTGCAGCAGGTTGCCCAGAGATGCTGTCCAGTCTCCATGATGAGGTTTTCAAAACCTCAACAAAAGGCAGGGCAGACGGGGCACTGCATTCTCTGTGCAGCCCCTGGCTTGAAAGTGACTTTTCCTATTTGGAACCCACTGTTTTTTTCTACAGAGAGAAGCAATAGTATTTTGGGAGACAGAAGTACTCTTTAGACCAAATGGTAAGAAACTAGAACATTAATGACTAACTTATTAGAAGTACAAGCAACATTTATGGTAACCAGCCTTACTGAAGTTATGACTTAAAGAAAAAGATACAATCGGAGGAAACCAGTTCTACGCTACTCTCAGCTGTACGTTTGATGATATACTGGGCTCTTTCAAGCTTCAACAAATGACGAAAGTCATCAGATTTTGCAGAATAATTATTCCCACAAGGGCATTTCTGAAGTGTCTCTAAATACAGACTTTTTCTAAACCAGAACAAAGTAACAACACACAGATACTCAAATTATTCCATTATAAAAATGTATTTTACTCTAATAGAATGGTTTGCACCACACCATTATTTCAGCATGTACAAAATAGGTTTTCCATCCAGCTTTGCAGGTAAGACTATCAGCCTAACATGTAAGTAGTACATGTAAGGAATACATGTACCACATGTACTTCTGATCAAAACCCACAAGCCAGACACCTTTTTCATTAGTGGATTTCAGCGTAATCTCTAGCTAACTTCTTGTATGCCTATCTGAAAAATTTAGGGCAAAGATGGACTACCACAGAGCAAGTTTAAGTCAATCAGCAGTAAGTACATTTTCCTTGGTTTCTTTCAAACCCTTACCAATAGTTCATGGACATCCCAATTACCTGAGAAGTCTAAGTTGAAGACTATGAATTACCCCATGACTTCTAGAGGATTTTTAAATACAGTAACATCAGGTTTTATGAAAATTCACAACATTCTTACTGTTAAAGAGGATACTGTGACAAATATGCTGACCCTTTAAGAATGTTTTACATATTTTCTAAGAAACTTAAAAAATTAAGGAACAAGTTATTGACAGGCTACCTATGATTACTATGCATCACTACTGAACAATGAGTACTTCTATCCACATCACTGAATGATGACATTCAGATATCTAAAGAGAGAAAGCTGCAGTCCCACTACCTAACCTAAGCAGTTTACTCAGAAGAAGAGTAAATATTTATACCAGCTGTGTATAAACACACAGAAGTTTTTAACATAGTTACACTGTTCTTCTACATACTAGCTAGAGTGTACCACTTAACTATTCCAGATAAACCTTTTATTTATGGAGATAGGCATTTTTACCCTATGATTTTTCTTAATATGCAATTCAAAAAAAGAACAAGCACAAAAGCCAATAAACAGATTTAGGAGAAAGTTTTATACCTGGAAATTGTTCATCAGCCCATACTGACATCCTGTCTGACAGGATGAGAAATCATAGTTTAATTTGCAAGCTGCAGTAGTGCAATTTGTCAGCTCGGTGACAATGGTGTTATTAATGTTCCCTGTGGCATCTCGAACAACACAGGAACCTAGAGTGGACACAATCACAAAAAAAGGCATTAACAGACTGACTCTGAACTTAAGGACATGTGTCAAGATCAATTCCTTTTTTATGTAAGCATATTCTCACAGAGCAACATTACAATATGGCATTTACATTTTTAATACATTTCAGTATTAAGCACATCTTCACTATCAAAAACAAATACAAACAAGCAAACTAATTGCTCTCTTGCCTGAGATGATCTTCAGTTTTTGAATAAATCTCAGTCTAATAAGAAAAGGAAAGTTTTAGCACAGAGGAAAACAATGTCATAGACTTGCAGAACTTTAACAGCACAATTTTAGCTCAACATCTTATTTCTCTGAATCACGATCTTCCACATAGCTCTTTAGCTGAAGTTGGTATTATGCACCATCACTTGATCTAGTTTCTCTTTTTGCCCATTTTCCTAGAGGAATGCATTTTTGTAGTGCATGTACAGATGATGCAGAAAGATGTGCACCGTGTTGCACTTATTTCTTTTCCAGTTAATATGGCTCAGACATTAAAAAAAAAAAAATAGTCTGCCATGAAAGCCTGTTGCAAACCATTTTCCAATGCTCAAACAATCCACCTCCTATGTGACTGTGGTATTTTAAGTTGGTTTCTTAGTGAAAAACAAAGCCACACAGTCCCATTCCTACCACAATTTTATAATTAAGTTTATCACTTAAACCGCTGTCTTCAATTCGTCTATGATTATTTGTAATTTCACTGGTCAAGAAAATGCTGAAGACACAGCATTTCAGCCCTTAAGTACTAAGAAAAACTAAAAAGTACTAAAAAGCTCACAAGTCTTCTAGTTCATGGGGTTTTGCCTCATAAAGGACAAGAACTAGAGCAGACTAAGTATTATTTAACATTCTATGGTTTAATAGTTGAGGTAGTCAAATTGTTTGGTCACCAGCAAATATTTCCAGGAAGAAGAATGAAATAAGGAGTGGGAAGAGAAGAGAGGAGCCTACAGAGCAGTAGCCAATAGAATTCCCTTAATTTGGTGTTTTAGGAACTTGAATCACAAGGAGATCCTGGGAACAGAACCATGTGACTACTGAGGACCTAAATTACTTACTTGCAAAACAAGGAGGACACAGATGTGCTGCAAGCTTAAGTTTCTCCAATAACAATCCCTGTTATCTATGCAATTTGTCTGTCTTTCACTGGGAAAACAAATTCCTAAATACCTATACCACATTGAGATTGCTTCTGAGCCATTAGAACTTGATAACAGTCCACAATAATAGCTGGTGCTCATCGGTGGACATTACTTAATCCTTCCACTTTTTAAATTTATTTTTCAGTTACTTATTAGGCCCAACTGGTTAAATTTCAAGTACAAGTTTCCTATATTGATCACCTGTCTTATGCTTTTCTTGTTTTTTTTGTTGTTGTTGTTTTTCTGTTTTAAATGGGATTAAAAGCTCTGTATGAGAAAAGGTTTCTTCTCTTCCACTACACTAGTATTTGCCCCAACCATTCAAGCAGTATATAATGGATGTGACAATATACTTACTAGTTGAATTATTTGTAGGTAATATTTTGTTGGTAATAGATTGCAGTGGCAGACCCATTAAGTTGAGCAACCCATTAAATAACTACAGTGCACCTCCTTTTCCTCATTCCCTTTTTCACAGTTCAGATCCAACTGGCTAGCAGGTCTTTCACACATGGAGTCAAAGTGCGACAGAAAGGGACAATGGCACTATGAACAAACTTAATGTGAGCCTTACTGTGAGAGAATGCAGAGCAGAAGCCAGCTGGGCAGGCTCCATTCTCAGCAGAAGATACTTAGATGCAAGTAACAGTCCAGACATTTTATTTAACCCTCATTCAGAAAGGTTTTATTTATTTATAAGATTCTGGCAACATTTTCCCTAAGAACTTCTAAGTCTTCTTTCCTGTAAAAACTTTTTCACCTTTCCATAGGCACCTAGAAGCATGCTCCTGCCAAAGTCAAATAAAGTTTTGCCATGCTATAAGCCTGAGAAGGTTAACAGACATTTTATATCAAGTTATCTCCCAGCTACATGCAACCAGCACAAATTCCAGAGATACTACCCTGAGTCCTTCAGACTGCAGTTGAGAGTGCTTAACTTCTCCAGTGCTACAAGCAGCTCTCATTAGTTTTACTTCGCTGTGTACAGAAAGCATGTCTTAAACCTACTCAGAAGTTTGGGTTTCTTATTAGAGCTTCCCTTGTTTTTAAAGCAATAGATGTTGTTCTTTGAAGTAAGTATTTCAAGAATTTTGATACAAAAGTTGCTTATGCAATCTTCATCCTGCCACCCACACACCTGCATTAGTCCCTTGCTAAGATAGGAAACTGCACACTTTCTCCTCACAGCTGTTATCTTTCTGAAATAGGCTGCGTAGCTCTAGCAGTAGGACTAGTAATTTTCCTCTTCTAAGCCTTCTCTACTCAGTTTCTTAATCCTCTTAGCTACTACAGAGCATGCAAATACTGAGCTAAATTCAGAACATCATCTTCCCCTTCACACATGACTACTCAGTGACATTTACTAGCCCCTTCAAAGTTTTAATGACTTGCTTGTCACTACTCTGGAAACTTACAGTGGGGAATAGTGTGTGGGGAAAGAAATAAAAGTATTTGTATTTGTCCGATTCCTGATCCAGTGCCTCAAAAAAACCTAAATTTCACTCATGTCATAATCTCTGACTTCTGCAATAGCACTGGCCTTTTCCAACTAGCAGAATTCTAAGTGTAAGTTATAGGAGGCAACTAAGGCAGGACATTTCTGATGCATCGATTTCATGTTCCATTGGTTTTGCAAACTGTTCCTTTCACAGTACGAAAAATGAAGTTTTCCATGTTTGAAAGCTGATCAAAGTATTCCATTAACAAATGAATATTAATGAAGATTTTGCTCTCATGTGCATTCAAGTTCTAAAGTATTAAAATTTGGTAGCAGGGGTCTACGCAGTCAACCTAATTAGGAACAAAGTGTAGGTCATTATGCTGCATAAAGCACAATCACTACAGAGCAACTATTTGGCAAAGCTACAGTACAATGTTAGCCAACAGAGGCAGACTAGCAAGATTGGTATCTTTGGAAAGGAAATATCATTAGTGGTAAGATCCATGGTACTCTTACAAATGAGAATTTCATTCAAAAGGCAGCACAGCTAAGATAAGGCAAGATCATTCATGTAAGAACTCATTACTGCTGCCAGAAAGTAATTTATATGACACAAACATTTCCAATCATAGACAAGAAATATGCAAGATATGATTACAATCTTATGTTCTTAAGGTTACTAAAATAGAATTATTTTATGGGTGGGAAAAACCTGGTTGGCCATTGGTGCTCTAGAGCAAAATTGATATAGAGAGCATCAAACCCCAAGGCAACTTCTACAGAGAATTTCAAACCACTGTGGGGTGGGGAAGACTGGGAAGAGAGGTTATACAAGACTCAGATCAGCCTATGATTGTTTCTCCTCTTTCGACACGAAAATAAAACTACAGACAACATTTCTGAACAGCACAACACTTCCAAAAGTGGGCTGGCCAGATGAAGGTACTACTCACTCTCCTCCCTCTACTAGGGAATTACTGCTCGTGCATCCTCACCAAAGCGTTACTTGATCATCCCACATTTCACTTTAGGTAAGTAGCTGACTATCATCATCTTCAAACCAATACAGGTGTTTGTTTAGTGAGTATTTTCTGAAAAAGCACTTTTCTAATCCAGGGATTATCCCACTGCTAAATTTTAAGTCTTTTAACATAGATAACTGCGACAAATGAGGAAACATCCACATGAAGTCTTGCGTCATCTTTAGTCTGAAGCAGTCACTAGTCTCAGAAAAGTATCACTCATTTTAGGAAATTATAAAACCAGCTGAAAATTGAACCTCCAACAATAAAAATTAGAAACCTCTGGCTATTACTTTCCCATGCGTGACAGTCAATTACATAACGAATTACATAAACTGTATCAAAACACACCCTCAGAAGGACTATGAAAGAATAAAGTTAAAAACGGTCTCTATTTACCTACAGATACTGCAATTCCTACGTAAACCATTGTAGTAATAAAGATGGCCAACAGCGTTCCTTTAGGTATGGCTGACTGAGGATCCTGAAAGAAAAATGTCAGTGGACAGTGATGACAGAGATAAATGTACACCCAGTGTTTCTGAACAATATTTGCTAATTTACTACTTACCGCAAGATCACCTGAGATATTTGCACCAGCAAGTATGCCAGTTGCAGCAGGGAAGAAAATAGCAAATACAGAAAAGAAAGTTTCCTCGTGTCGGAAATCTGGTCCAAAATTCTCCATAAATATTTCAGCTGCAGAAAAAGATTTAAGTCTATCAATACTCATATAGAGGCTACAGTATTAGCCCATTCCAGCCATTATTAGCTCCACGAAAAAAGCTGAAAGTCATAGCTGTATGACCTTAAAATTAAGCGTAGAACATTTAAGACCTAATTCATCACTTCAACTCAAAATAAAAGTCAACACAGTAAACTTAAATAGCCTTTAAAACCAGAAAAAAAGTACTTACAGTATCATCCAGCTTTTTTAAATCTAGTATAATCGATATTAAGCAGGCAGGACCAAGTTTTGGTCCAATAGTTTTAAGGAACAAGACTGCAGAAGTTTGAAAAAATTAGGAAAAAAATTTCTGTAGTTAAATAGGACTATAAGCAATTTTAGATAGTTTAACTTCATTATGACAGCATGTCTCCTCTTCGCAAAGATATTGTTTACAATACTAACTGTTCCAACATACCTTTATAACCAAAAAAACCTTTAGGCTTCTTGCTATCCAAAGGAATAAATGTTCCTATGACAAAGTCTCCAATAGCAAGTATGAGGATCACCAGTAAGACTATCTGTGCCTGAAACATAATGATTGCAGTCAGAAAGAAGAACTTGCTTTTTCAGTTTCAAGCTTCAATGCTGTGTTCTAAAATGTAAATATTTACTTGATTCCAAATTCAGCTTAATATTCTCAGCTTGTTTTCCACAAATAAGGCAAGCTGGAGAGAACACGTACTGGTATTTTTAATAAAGAAATAGGAATAATTTCTAAGTTTAACGTCCATTCAAAAGAGAATTTATTACTACCATACCCCTCAAAGTTATACTTCTAAACACAAAATACTCAGGAGAACCATTTTCTCCATAAGCCTTCCAGAAGGAATGGATTTGAGTAGATTGAAAAAATTCGCAAGAGCTAAATGCACACAATGCTAGGAGTATTGCCTTCTTGACCGTGATCATAGTATTTTGCCTTATACTTTAGTATGTAGTATTTACTTCACTAAGAATTTTATTACATCAGGAATCAAACAGCTTTTGTTTGCTATTTTATGCAACAGACTAGATGATTTTGTTACATTCTCATGTTCTCAACCCTTATTTATTAAACTAAATTGCAGACTACCACAATTACTTGTTAATTTCTAGTTTTCTTGAGAATTTTTTCATTACAACCTAGATTTTTAGTCACTGTTCAATAAATCCATTATAAACCCCACACCTGGAACAAGAAGTACTTTAAACCATCTAACGCCTCAGAAGCGTGAGTGAAGATAAATCTAGGCATTGAAGAGATGGCTCAGGTTTTACATTTAAATAAGCAACCACACTGCCCTGTTATCTTTTGTGTTATCTGATTCCTTATAAAGGCACATGCCAGTGGCTTGGGGGAAGCTATTCGTAGCTTGACTTTTTTTCCAGGCATAGGATCAGAACTTAATATGCAATAGCACTGCTGCACTGATGATTGTTACAGAAGTTTACAGTTCACACAGCCTCGCAAGAAAACAGGGTAGTACAACAATGAACACAGCATGACAGCCAAGAGCAGAGTTAGAAGACCACCTGAAAAACTAGTCTGTTCATCATATTTAGATGTCTCCTTTGCCAAGCCTACAGAATATGTGAGAGGTGTAAGGATGCAGCTGGGTGCTTACAAAAGTCTTCAATAAGCCCAGAGAATTCAATATGAAGTTACCACAGAGCAACTGTCACAAGTGGATTTATCCAGTAACAAACCGAGGCTTCTCCCTGAAGCTAACAGCATTTTCTGAATATCCTCCTTACATTCAAAAGTCTCAGACAAAGAATGGGCTCCTAAGACTTCAACACAAGAAGCTGAGTGCTAGGAGATCATGAACTCTGAAAAGTCATTTTTTAAGTAAGCTTCCTTGGAATCCCAGTCTCTCTTAGCTTTTAGATCTACTTCAAAGACATTATTATAGATTCCCCTTGTCCCATTTTCCAAGGCATTCTCTAAATCATGGGGAAGGCATAGGAGAACATCATAGATACTTTAATCAAGAGGGAAGCATTAGTGTTTTGCTACACTAAGCTGTATGTTAACCCACATGAAGTGCTTGTTTGACGGGTTCAGTTGCTTACCACCACAACCAAGCCAACAAGCCTTGATTTTTGCATTGAGCACAGGATTTTTGAAAGCAACCTATTTCCTAATGAGGATGATGCTGCAGTGATACCACAGTTCACATTTGACACAGAAACATTAAAAAACAGGGGTATTTCTATGCAAGCTAGTGTTATAGAATTGCTCATGCTACAGAGCAGAAGCAAGGTATTTCTTGTGACTTTAAGTGACAGTGGCCAGAGGGTTAATCACAACTAATTCATTCAAAAGAAAAACTAAATGTTTGAGATTGAGGACAACAGTATTGTTCAAAGTCAGGTGCATAAAGATACCATTACAAACTGAAGTTACAGACAATGAAGGACTACCTGAGAAAGGTAAACAATTTTTATAGAAGTGTGCTGTTTGATTTAAAAGTATATGCCAAAGTCAATTTCTGTAGATTCTTTACTCCCTGTGGTAGATCCAAGTAATGCACTTGATCTTCACATCCTTCTACGATTGCTATTTCTAGGGCTGGACGCAACAATGAGAAAAAACCCTCTCTCATTTCAATTATGAGTATCATCATCACCTGGATGCAGGCGCCTAAGAAACTGTTATAACACTTACATGAAGAAGCTCCTTCAGTTGTCTCTCACTGCAGAAAATAGAAGCTATGGTGAGCCAAATACCAAATGAGAAGGGAGACCAAATGAGGCTCTTAATTATTTTTGAGCACACTAGGGACATACTCAGAAAAAGCCTATCTGGTGCAGGAAACACTGAGCAAGCTACACTGCCTAGTAATGCAGAGCAGAAAACTAATAAGGCAACCTCTATATTAAGGTATCCTAGGATCTGCACGTGTTTGTTTCCACAATCAGAGTTGACCTAAGATGGTGCAGCCACAAGAAGATGAGGAAAGTAGGTTCCCCCTCCCACACGTTCATCACTACCAATATTCACAACCCTCCTCCATGCTGGGCCTAGTGACTGCATCACACTGTCTGGCTGTTTCCAAGTAAAAACAAAACCAGAAGAGAGTAGAAGGGAAGGCAAGAATACTGGTTTTGAGTTAGCAGAAACTACACAACTTTAGATTGGCTTCAGCTCCAGCCCTGTATTTTCCATCCACAAAGCTCATTTGACGTTCCCAGTGAGGGAAAATTCCCACGCTAATGCTGTTACCTTTTCTTGTTGTGCTGTGGTTGCCCAGAAAAGGGTAATACCATTAACCTACTTGACAGTCTCATTAAGAGTAGATTATGCTGGTTTTTAGGTTCTCATAGATGCTTGAGCTTCCAGTGGAGCATAGTCGTCTGAGGTCTGAAATGCTGTCCAGACCTGCACGTGCTAGCACTAGACAGAGAGCTATTAGATAAAAACTGCCCACTGACTAACTTCTAACATACCATGCATGCAATACTGAGTGCACTAAATAAAAATAAATCAAACAGCTGAGGTAGAAAATGGAATCAAAATTATGAAGCAGAGAATAAAAGAAAAGGTGATAGTTCCTTACTTTTGCTTCCCATTCCATTCCAGCAACAGAAATACCCAGCAATATGACCACTGTGATAGCCCCTATGATTCTGATATCATTCATTTCATCAACCATCAACGTTCCATTTTCCTAATAAAACAAAAACATAGTCATATACTTTATCAAGTACTTATCTTTCTTACTGCGGAATAGCATTTTATTGACTGTAACTTTAATTAATAGAGTTAACCTCTATGCCACAAACTTACTCATTTTAAATTCCCTGTATGAAAAGAAGTAATTTGGTTTTTGCCTTGTTTTGAATCACTGAATCTTCTAAACGGAAATGATCATTCCTATTCATAGCCTATCCCCATATAGAATGGCCTGTCTTCAGCTGCCAGAGAACTAATCAGCAAGGCAACTGCACCCATACGTGTATTTCACTTGTTGTTCACTATTACTCTTGCTTGTTTTAATGTATTCCAATCTTCCCATCTACAAAAAGGATGGTTGAGCTCTTCTCAGTATTACATTTAATCAAAAAAAATCCAACAGACAAATAATACTTACTTGTGTTTAACTTAAGGAATTGTTTTTAATAAGCAGAACTCCTTTGAAAATGAGCTTAATATAAACTACTACCACTTACAGTGCACTAATAAGAATCTCAGCATTAACAACTTATGATTCTGCATCATGTATCTGTACTGCCGCTCCTCTTCTCAACAGCCAGCTCGGACTTTACCACAAATTACACATTTTTTCAGGGAGATAAACGGTGGGGAAGTTTCCATTTGACACCAATGATAATCTGTTTTTTACCAAAAAGCTACTGAATTACAGTAGTATTTTACTGATATAGCAGTAGTAACCTTGCACCTCATTCCATGTCTTTGAACTGGTCAGGGCAACCCCCGGTATCAATACAGGCTGGGAGATGAAGGGATTGAGAGCAGCCCTACAGAGACAGACTTGGGGGTACTGGTGGAGGAAAAGCTGGACATAAGCCGGCAACGTGTGCTTGCAGCCCAGAAGGCCAACCATATCCTGGGCTGCATCAAACTTGCATAAAGGACAGTGTAATCAATATAACTACTATCATCCATATACCTTGAGCAGCTCCACAACTGTCTCTGCAAAGCCAACAACATACATTGCTACTGCAACAGCATTGGCAAATGCAAAAATCAGACCTATGGCGCCACCAAACTCTGGCCCCAGACTTCTGGAAATTAAGTAATATGCTCCCCCTGAAAGAAAAAAAAAAAGACAAGACAAAAAAACAGTACATGAAAGAGCCTAAGAATAGACAGGCATCAACAACTTAAAGTTTGTGATGTTATTTATTCTTGCATGTTCCCTGATCTATTAGAAAATAATCCAAAACTCAGTATTTTAGGGGCAGGCATGCTGAAGTTTCAGCAATACATATCAAATTTTTAAGGAAGACAGCAGTTGAAAATAATCACCTGACTTACGCACCTCATCATATTATTCAGCTATGCAGCCAGTTCTATGGTTAAAAACCAAAATGTAAAACACAAGCAGCAGCATTGCTGTGCTTTTTATTTCAGACTACTCGAAGCATTTGTGCATAGTTCCACTATAATGCTTTTTCATTAGCTATAGCTCAAGAAACTGGCAAAGTAGACTTTAATAGACCCACTCAAGTTCCAAACCTCCATAACCTGTTTCTTAAAGCTCTGTTGTTAAGGGAATTTTCTGCCCTCCAGTGGGACTCTCAAAACAATCACACGGCCACTCTTATTTTTCAGAGCCTGTTCTTTGTATTTTTCAGCTTGACAAATACAACAACTCAAACCCCACGTGGCAAATGGAAAACTGAGTATCTACAGCATTACAAGAGTAAAATTTAAAAAAATGTAGCAAAATCACATTTGTCCAATTTAAGGCTAAGCTTTCTACAAGCAACAAAATCCTCCAGCTCCAGTCAGAAGTAACTGAGTGCACATTAAAAATTTGCAACAGGAAATCCTTAATTTCACTGCTTTACAGCTCTTGTGCAAAACATACGTAGGTACCCAGCTTTGACATACTTTGAAAATGAGAATGTTAACACAAGAAAAATATTACTGTAATGTAAGATTTTCATAGGAACAACTGTGATTTTTTTTCTACAGTTCTTCCCATTCAGCACTTCAAATTTTCTAATGAAGTACTGTTTTGCAAGAATGACTCAAAAAAAAAAAAAAAAAAAGGGCTTTCATAAGAACAGGAAAATCCAATATGTATAATGCAGTTTAAAAGAAAGAAAGGGCATTTAGAAACTAAGCTTGTCATAACGCTAAGATTCATAGCTGATCCTTCCCGTTGGGTCCATTTACTTTGTGATAGTGAGGCTTTTCTCTCCATTCTTAATCAAAAGAGTTTTATAAGCTTCTATTTTAATTCCACCACATTTTCTACTAGTAGCAGTCTTGTAATGTCATGAAGCAGTCTGAGCATGTCAAAAACACCAACCACTTACAAACTATTTTGTAGGAATTGCTGACAACAGCACATAAGCCATGGAAGAGAATGAAAACCATCACCCTCAGGAAAGCTGGAGATAATCAAGAGTTTGGAGAATTTATTTTGTGTATTAAAAAAATCACGACAGAACAAGACCACATCCTTTTTTATGTTCTCATATAGATACAGCTTGTCCTTTCATAGGATGTATTTTTTCATTAGTAAGTTTTATTTCAGGAGATAAACACATACAAGCATACATGCACATTCTTAACCAAACAGTGCAGATGCAGGAGAATATTAAGATCCTATTCATTCCTGGATACGTGTCTCTAAAAATGTAGATATTCTTAATTTTTGGAATACAAAATGTTTCTTCCACAGCAGAAAGGAAGCCACTAGTCAAATCAAATTAGTAGGCTAATTATTGACTTTTCATTAACTACATGACTGCTTAGTCAAATACAGAACATAGGGAACAGTCTGCTCCTCAGCAAACTAACTCATCCCTACATTTCATCCCATACTGTTTTTTCCCTGATGCTAAAAAAATAGAAAATTAATTAGAGATTCCATCCCTAAGCTGTACACTTCAGAGTGACAAAAGCTTTGAAAGCTTTATGAAAGTAGGCTTACCTCCTCTTACAAACCCATTTGTGGCAATTGCTGAAGTAGACAGTCCTGTAATAGTTGTCACAACAGTGGCCATTCCAATAACCAAGACAGACAGACCTTTTAGAAAAAGAGGGGGAAAAAGGTGTTAAGTCCAACAGTATTAAAATGTACAAATCTTCAACTTAACTTAAAGAATTAGTCTTGCAAATAGAACTCAAATTTACTGTGTGTGGTCCTGCACATTCAAGCAAAAGGCTTCTTCACTCCCCTTGTGTACAGAGAAGTTTCCAGGATACAAACAAAACTGGATAAATGTTCTCTTTAATCAGCAGGGTAAAAGCTGTATCCAAGATCTTCAAGGAAACACATGCCTTTTGCAGATGAGATATTTTCTGCAGTCCAATACTAAGTTAAGCCTTTGAAGACAATTGTTCATATACTACACAGTCTATATGCAGACGAGGGGGGTGCAGAAAGACACCAGAGATCAAAATAATCAGAAATCTCCACTGAAAACTTACAAATGTCAGTTTTAAATTACAGACCATGTAGCTAAATGAAAAAGTCTAAGTAACTTCATACTGCTTAAAGTTTTGATAAGGGTAAATTACCTTAAAAACTGGCAATATTAAGGTCATTTTCTACCCCTGTTTATAGTGTGATCTCAGGATCAACACCTCTTTTGGATCACATTTAACAGTCACTGGAATAAAACTATCGCATTAGTACACATACCTATCCCAGCTTGTCCTACAATCCATGATAGTCTGATGAAGAGCATCACACCCCAAATATTTAACATACATCGTACCTAAGATAGAACAGAAATATTACATAGGTTAGGTCTTAAATCTGCAGTCATTTCCACTAATTCTTCATCTCAGTTTTTAATGTTGTTGAAATTATCTTGCAGTCTTTCCTCACCACTTTTCAAAACATTTCACAAGAATAGATTTTTTTAATTAGACAAGTTTAGGTTTTATTAAAAAAAAGGGAACCTAAGGATGATTAAAAAGTTACTACCTTGAGCACAGATAAAGTTACAGTACTTCGATATCTGACACTTGTAGTATGTCTTGACCAAATAATAAAAATAATTTAGATCTCAGCCTTCAGGATCCAAAATTCATACCACAGGATACATGACTAAAAATAAGATTCTGAGGTCTACAATGATTGTGAGGTCTACAACCCCAGTTCAGATCTCCCACAAATCTCCCCCAAAAAATGCACTAAAGAAATACTTACTAAATATTTTATTCATTTTTAAAAAAAAACAAATAACCCCCACAACTTCCCAGTCCTAGAACTTTTATACCTTACAACACAGCTGCACACTAGCAGGATAGGAGGGAGAGTTTACTTTTATCCTTGTATTTTAAACTCTTAGTTCTCAATAGAAGAGTTTGTACTGTACAGAATTTAGACAGAATACTAACATGAGGTCTTAAGTCTCTCTCTTACCTAAAGCTTACAATACCAGTCCCACAAAAAGTCATGGTCATTAGGACTAGAAAGGAGACAAGGACCTCTCCAAACCACAAAAGTAAGAAGTTTTCAGAGATTTAAAAAGTCTTTTGCAAAATGTAAGTCACCTGAGCTGGAAATAATCACCCAGATGGCTTATGCCTATTAGGAAACACTAACTGCAACTTTCAAACCACTGAAAACGAGGAGATCATCCTCCTTGAAACTTTTAAATAGACTTTGGAAGAAAATGGTCAGCAACATTTACACCATAACTCTTTAACACTTAAGAATTGTTGCTTACAAAAATAGTTCCATACAGAATTTCTGTTTGAAGAAATTCAAAGTCAGCTTCACACCTGCTTTAAAATGAACAACTTTGTCCTTGGTTGGGGTACATCAACAGAAGTCTGCAATACCTGTTTCACAGCTACCACAGGCACTCTCCTTCTCCCAAGGCAGAGAATATGGCTACTTCAAGACTTGTAAGGAAATTGCTAATACACAGTGGAAGCTTGCTGAACTGAAGTTAAGTATTCTGAATGCTCAAGTTCAGTATGTTTTAACAAACTGTTGCATTTGCAACCACCACTATAAATTCTTAGAGCTTTCAAGAGTACGTATTAAACGTGGTTTCTTTTTGCCAAAATATTAAAAAAAAATTAATATGTACTTGTAATAAAGTCCTCCATGGCACCCTTAATTTTTCACTATTCCAAATGGGGACAGACTCAGTTATTCCCACCATGACTATGCTGTATTTAGTGTTAAGAATTCCACAGCTTAGGAGAAGATGATTTTCTGTAACAAGTTCAACGAAATTTAAATAGTTAATCCTGGTCAAGTTTTGCCATATACAGGTAAGTACTCTTCTCAACACAGTAGTTTTTACTTCTCTAAAAATAAAAATCAAGTTTTCTAACACTTCAGTCCAAAACTTTACAGATCCAAAGTGAACACACATTAAGCATATTCTGTCCATTTGCATTTGTCTTTGTCACTTGAGATTCACAGTAGATTTTCTACTATGTATGAATACTTAAATAGTCTTTTTCTTTCTTGGAAATTATGCAACCTCAAAACTGTAAAACCTGTGCTAAGAAACCATGATCCCTTCAAAACCTGAAGTCCTGAAGTATTTACTTCCTTAAAATTCAGTACAAGTAAGAGCAACCCTTGCTAAAATTATGGCATTTTTCACATCTCTTATACATACTATCTTTTCTTTATACAGCACTATCACAATCCCTCTCAAAAAAGAAGGTTGTTAGAAAGATCATATCTGTAAGAAACTGATGTTCAATATATCAGACTTACCAATACACCTTTTATCCAGCCAAACTTGACCACCCCTTTGCTATCAGGTGCATAAGTGGCAGCTGCTTCCCCAGCTGGTGTGCCTTCCTCACCATTTGCATAGCCATCTTCAAAGGGCTCCTTGGGAAGGAAAAAGAAGTTTATCTTATGTGATTAACAGAGTAGAGAGGACATTTGATACTCACAATGTAAAAAACCCCATGTACTTGTCCAAATAGAAAAATTAAAGAATTAAAGACATGGCAGAACTTTTAAGGTTTTCCTTTATGTTCCTTGCATGAGGCACATCTCAGAGATTTCAAGGAATATAAAACAAGCTTACATTGACGACTGAGGTATTCTGCTTCAGTTAGAGCAAACTGTTAGCAGTCAGAGTAATACGTATTTTTAAAAATCACTTCTTCAGCCCTAAGAAACAAACATCTGGTCTTAGAAAAAGAACTACAGGATTTCAAATGCAATGACTTCTACAGCACAGGAAATTTTGTTTCTTAATCTGAAAGCGTATACTGTTCTACCACAAGCTACCAGTCTCAGCTATAGCATTTCCTGTAGTTCAGAGTTAGCTATCATTTGATCAATTTTTTGGGAAATAAACTATTCACTTCCTTGCAAACTATTCTACTATTCATTGTAAGGTGATGTTGCTAGAAAGGAGGGTGGGAGACTGGCATTTCAGGGAGAAGGAGGGAAGAGAAGTCTCTTCCCTGTTTAAAAGGAAAGGATGACAGACGCACAAAACATCAGTCCCATGGACAGACCAACTCATGGCTTTTCTTTACAGTTCAACTCTCAGCCTTACAATGCAGAAATCTTAACTGTTTGATATATATTAAAAATATATGTATATATACACATACTTATTGCATGCTTGCTTTTCAAGAGGCAGTTTTGTTTTGCCAAGCCAGGCAAAAACCTAAACATTTAAACTTAAGTATTTCCTACACTTGCTCTAAGAAATCTGCAGGAAGCACTCTGAGCAAAGTATGTTAGTTATCCAAGGCAACAAGTATAAAGAATGAATATACTAGAAAGACCCTGAATACTATTCAGAGAATACTATTCAACAAACCAGCTCAAGCAGTATTTGTGAAGCAGGCTGCATCCCAGAGGGCATAGAAAACATTTAAACAACTAGAGGTTCAATCCCAATGAGGTAGAGGGCAAAACTCCCATTTGCCAAATAAGACACAAAATAGACTGGACCCAAATGATGCTTTCAAGAAGTATGTTCCATGCTGAAGGGACGCAGTAAGAAAGTTTAATGTGAGATACTTTATTAAATTCCTCTTCCTCCTGATACATTACTACCAAATATACCATCAGCACAGAGTCAAGAGGAAATATTTATAGAACTGTCACTTATGAAGGGGGTCATCCATATCCCCTTACAATCAGCAGTAACCATACAAACAGATTTAAAAAAAAAATTCATGTCAGTGCTTCTCTCATTGACTCTGCTTTATGAAATTGTCATAAAAACAGGTGTACCTGCAACACATCTGGAGATCCTGTATGACAAAAAGCTTTCCACAAATAGGCAGAATCAAGATTAGTTTGCAGATCATTACCTTTAACAGACAGCTTTCATAAATAGTAGGTTTTCTTGTCTCCAGAAGGGATTAAAAAGACACATATCTATGTGGTTTATATATATATTTTTATATATATAATGTGTTATACACATTAAACAGAGGACAAAAAGAAACATAAGTGGGAATTACCTCATTTGCTGAACTGCAGCTCTTCTGGACAGAAGAGAACTAATGGCTGTAGCTTCTTTGGAGATTTGCACAGCCTTTGACCACATGAATCTATTGATTTGTTGATTATTTGTATTTGGGCACTCAAACTTAAAACAAACCAAGCAAGAAGTGGTGTGTGATCCATTTAGAGTGGCAAGAAGAACAGCGAGGACCAAAAAAGAGAATTACCATGCTGCTACATTTAAGATTTTACATAGAATTAACTCTAGCATCTCTATGTCAAGAATTAGAATAATAATTAACTAGTTTTAATTTAATACATACAGCTACAAGCCTCTCATTTGCTGAGCCTATGCTGACCTGCCTAAACTAGAACCAAGGAAATGGAAAGCTCTCTAATCAGGCTCCTTGACCAGTTCAGACACACCTGAAGCTCACAACAGAAAAGAATGAGCCTATGTACTGCCCTGCTCTGATACCCTTGAGTACTCATCCTTCAGATGACTTTCCTAGAAATGCAGGAATAAACCTCAAAACACTTTCTAGGTATTAATGTCTCCCTCATCAGATTATGCTGTTCCCAGCAGCACTTACCAGAAGTTCCTCCCCACTTCTCCCCCACCCACCTTCAGAAATGGGGAGGAAAAAAGAAAAAAAGATACATTAAAACAAAGGATAGATTAATAAGCACATTCACAACAAAACAACAACAAAACCTCCAATCAAGCATGCAACAGTGTAACTTAATACTATTATTCCTTCATATAAAATCCATTCTTATTTCTCATAGAAAAGCATCACATTATACTTGCAACAAACTCAATTCTAAGGCGTTGCATAAATGGAGTCACATTTATATTTTGGGACATGGTTTAGTCTAGTCTACCCTTGACTGGTTTAGTGTGGATTTGGTTGTGTAGGTTAATGGTTGGACTGGATGTTAAAGGGCTTTTCCAACCTAAACGATTCTGTGATTCTATGATTATATTATCTAAGCAGTTTTTACACTTTGGCCAAGAAAACTGCCAACTTTTGATAACATCTTCTGGTATTACAAAAAGGCATGTCATGTCTCTAATAAGAAAACAATAAAATTGTTCTTTGAGAAGACTGGTCAGGGAGGATCAAGGAAGGGCTAGAAGAAATCTGCATCTTCATGTCCTAAAATATTGAAATATTATATGCAACTAAAGTAGTTAATGCTGTAATACTGAATCACAACACTTTTTTTTTTTTTTTTAAACTAGCTAGAAGGTTTTGTCTACTGCACATTTAGGTTTTAAGAGAAGGTGGAGAATATCCTACTATCTAGTGTAAGAGACAGTTACGTACTTCATCATATGGCCATGGCTGGCCAGGTATTGGTAGAACCTGCACACATCAACAAGATGACTCCAGAGGTCACTTCCAACCTCAACCATCATGGGATAGCTACGCATTTTACTATACTGCTCAACCAAGCCCATAGCTCAGCCTGTTCTATTCTGGGAAGGAGACAATGGCTCATAACTGATAATCTATCAGTTACCAGATCAACTGCAAGATATGCACACTATGAACACAAGAAAAGTTTTGTTCTGTATGTCTTGTCTCTCCACACTATGCAATATTTCTCAGGAAAATATTCTGAAGCACACGCAAAATGTAATAACTGAAAGGTTATTGCTGGTTATCAGTGCTAGTGGGTGCCCGATAAAGTACTAGTGAGAACAGATATTACAGAGTGTGGGCACAAAAGAATTCAACTACATAAGGCTCCAAGTTCAGCCCTTGAATGCAAGATTAAGAAAGCATCACTGTGGTCTCAGCTGTAAATAACGCAGGCGTAGTATTTTTCATACTTGTGCTCATGAGGAAACAATGCTTGTACTCAAGTCACATACTGAATGGAAAAAACACACTAGCACTTTTTTAAAACAGCAATACATGTACGACAAGATATTCATAAACAGCAAGAAACACTAACACACTGTGGATTTGGAGGGGGTGTAACAAAAGGAGAAGAAAAGAGAAGGTTTTAGCATTTTGGATCAGAACACAACTTTTAAATCAAAATAGTGTCTTTAATCAATCCAAAGAACACTCAGAGTTATAGTGTTCACTTGCACTGGTAAAGGAAAAATAAGACACATTTACATGTTGACAATTCTATCACACACTGATAGGAATTTAGCCAAGAAACAGTTAAATTCTGTTCCTACACAGAAATTTCCATTGCTGTATCACAGTGCACTGAAAAGTACAGATAATCTACTATTTCATCTCCAGTACTGGATCATAACAATAAGTTATTTGTGCCAATTGTGAATAGCCTCCACATTTATTAGAAGTGGATTAGTAATGAGAAAAGACTTGTTAGCCAGAAGATATCTGAGATTTTTCACACACAGCTTGAAATACACTGGTGTACGGAAAAGTTTCTCATCAGTAAAAACTGCTGTTTAGTTTTACTGAGAGGTCTTGATAGTGGTGCATGTCATGCAGCACATTTATTTATGGTGATATTATCTAGATCCTATCTTAAAGGCAACATATATAGGCTATGTTGAACTGTATGAGGTGGTACCAGAATAAACGCACATGAACTCTTCTGCTCTTCCTTCTTTTCAGGTATCACGACATGGAAGGCCCAAGTAAAGGACAGGACAGCCAGCAAGTTTGTATCTAAGACTACATGGTTCTTCTGCAGGCAGACCGCTTTCTTTGTGGTCTGCCTGATTTGGCATGTCCCAAGTAGTAACTTCTTTAGCTAATCATTCTTATTGCCATTCTCTTGTGCAAAGAGAGGAGGCCGAAGAAGCACCTGAGACTAGAGTATTTAACTCCTCTTTTTCCATCTCTCAAGTGTGACCTGTTACAGGTTTAGCATGTGCCATATAGTATAGGCTTCTCATACAAATTCCTTAGGAAGGCTTCACAACAGTAGCTTTTTCTTGTCTTAGTAGGATACAGTACTGAAGCTGGTTTAGACAGCTAATACTATCAAAATGTTAAAGAAAATCAAGAGCCTCATCTTTTCAAGCTCCAGTTTCTGCAAGGAAATATAAAAATGGCATTTCACTACATTTAATCAAGAGAACAGCTGCTTACATTTAAAACTGCTTTGCATGTACATAGTCTGATACTGACCACGCTGCTCTCCTCATTTAACACGCTTAGCCAGGACAGGAAATAAGGGAAGCCGCCTGAGAACTGTCTTTCACCAACAGAGGTACTGACAGAACAATTCCGCACAGCAATGGGTCTCTGTCCTCACCAGCTACCGCTGAAGCCTCAAAACGAGATCATGCTTTTACATGCTAGGAGCTTTGTGGTTAGAGGTCTTTACAGCAATCATCACGGACAGTGGAACCCTTCTTCACAAGAGCAAGAGACTTGCACACATCTTCTGCACTCCTTCACTGCAGCTTCCAGCATTACTGCCAAACTGTTCACTACACCTTACCATAACAATTTCTTGTTTCCATCTGCAAAGGTGAATTTTATAGGCATCACCACTTTTAAGAAATTCCTTTTTGTAGAAGGGAGCAATCGGTAAAATGTATTGATCCAGATGTAGGCATGCCAGCTGTCTCAATAGCGGAAGAGTTGTTACTTGCAGAGATTATACTCCTAAATAGCCCAACTCTACAGCTGCACACAGTTAAGACTACGGCTACTCAAGCACAAAACTTGACAGTACAGAAGATTTTCGGAGTTAACACAGCTCAAACCATATATGGAAGAAAAGCTTATGAACATTTGGGTTTGCTTTTCTAATTCAAACATTTTAGCCAGAGTGTGAATAAAATAAAAATGACAGATTAAACAAAGTTATCAAACAGCAGCAGAATTACTGAATGTTGCCAGAATATGCTAACACTTCCCATGATTTTTAAAGACTACAATTCTTTTCTTGGATAAGCGAGCCTTCCACTTTCCCTTCTGGAATAAACTTTTGGATTCTTCCTCCCACCTCACCTGTGACATTTCTAATAATCTGAATAAAAGGTTTTAAGAGTGCTAGATGTATTGTATGCATAGAATAACTGCATAGAATAATCCTGCTGGCATAGGTGTTTACCTCTGATGCAACAGTGACAACTTTTGCAAATGGTTTGTACTGGTACCAATATATTTAAGTGTGATACTGTGCTACCAAAGAATAAGCCAGCTATTAAATGTTGACCGTAGGACAGTATCAAACACATCTGTTCTTTAAACACTGCTTTTGCAGCATGCTAACATTTGCAGTCATAAAATTCCTAGTTTGTGCCTAAGGGTCTTTGATAAGCTGGTTTTATGTTTTAATGCTTTTATCTAACCAGTGGTGAAAGAAACCAAGAGCACCAAATTTCCTTTCCAAAATGTCTAAATCTCTATGGAATGGTTTTAAGCATATTGTTGTCCAGGGACACAAGAGAGTCCTGTGGTTAACACTTTATGAAGAAAAGTCTCAAATTTGATTGTCTGACTGAGAATACACAGCATTTCAGTACTTAAATATGCAAGAGGAAAAATAAGTTCTCACCAGTCTTTGACTTGATCTGGTGACACTGACTATTGTTTGTAAACATTTTTTTCAACCAACCACTGTTCAAAATGGTTGAGGTACTTGGTTGTTAACTTTGCTCTGTAGACTAACAAATCACAGCAAGTTTTTAATACTAAGTTTGAAAAACACCTCTGCCAGGTCTGACAGTTTTCAAGTGTTTTTTGTAAGGGAAATAAACAGCTCTAAAAGGGAGTAAGTAATGTAGGTAATTACTTTTAAAATACCTTACTCTACGTAACACCCTCTTAAAGAACAGTCAGCACTGGCATGGACAGTCTATTTTGTAAACTAATAACACCAGCACTACTGTTGTTGACAAACAGCTATTTTCTTCTCTATACTTACCGTTTCAGAAGTGCTAACCCTAAAGCTTTGTTAGATATCCTCACTGCTTTCGCTTACACCACAAATTGATTTACCTAAGCCTCTCTCCCATTAAAACCATAGAACTACATAGTAAATACCAATATTCAAGCCTGACTGAAACAGTCACTTCCTAAGAAAGGCAATTTGCTATAGACCTATGAAACAATGCAGAAGAATCTTGTTTGACCTAGGAACTGGAAATTAACACAACTTAAACTCAATGCCTATGAAAGCAAATAAGGAAAAAACCATATGCTGTGTACATTTCTCACTACCCTTGAAAGAACTCTTTTTTTGGCCTACCCTAAATAGTTTTAGAAAACTATCACTTTGTACACAGTAACAGTTAAAAAGAAGAGATTATAAAACTAAAAAAATAACTCTGTAATGAGTAATTCAAGAAAAAAGTCTGTAGCACACCTGAACTTTAAATACTGCATGCAGTTCTACTTCATCACTAGTCCTCTGCTGGGATAAGGATGGCAATAGGGTTATCATGAGTTGGTATGGAAACTAAGAACTAGTGTGTCCAACTCTCAATCAATGCTCCATAACAGCCCTTATTCTGATGAAAGAGCAGTGAAAGTGCAAATTCCAAAACTGAACATAGGTTATCACTTTCTACATCTTAATTACATCATAAATTTACATCTTACCAATAGATGTAATAGTCTGAATCTTTGGTACTACAAACAGGGTGATAATCCAAGTGAACACAGTTACCTTTCACTTAGAGATTGCTACTCATAAAGACAGTAGCTTCTACAGACACCTAGAACAGTTTATAAATTCCTGATAACTCATTAGTTAAAAATAAACTTGCCAAGTTAGCAAAACAGAATCAGGTGTTCAGGTTTTTCAGGAGTTACATGGGAAGCTTGAGTGATCAGTATCACTACCAGTGGGAAAAACCCAGTCAGGTAGCACATGCAAAAGAAAACATGGCAGAAAAAAATTCAGGACATCTCAGTCTGCCTGAACACCTTCTTAGCATTTTCTAAAAACAAACTCAAAACCACACATTTTCAAGGAACACTGCTAGTCATTGTGAAATGACTAGATGTTGACAGCAGTTCAGAAAATTCAGCAGTCATATTAGGTACTTTACTGCTTGTTTTTACACCAGGAATGAATTATAGTAAATTTGCGAATAGAATTTGTAATTCCCACTCCTTGTTTGAAGCGCATGCAAGATGCTGCTACTATACTGTGGCTCCAGTATCTTTACAGTCATAACCTAAAAAAAGCCTACTAACCCATTAAATGGCACCCAGCAGTTACCTACAGCAACAGGAGATAAATTACCCAGATAAAGCATGATCTGTTCTCAAAAGTCAGGATTCCTTGGAATCAAGCATGAACAGCTTCAACCACTGGTTACTTGCCTCAATCGAAGGAAATCCTTTTCATGTTTGCAGCCAAAAGAGCAAAACTTAAGTGCTTTGGCTATATTACCTTCTCTACAATTAAATATTGAAAATATAGCAGCACATGCTTTTGGCATCCACATCCAGAGATTTT